AAAAAAAAAAAAAAAAAATACTTACAATGAAAATTTTTTTATGTCGAAGTTGATCATTGCTCACTTAATAAAAAATAATTTTTTTTTATTCATGCAGGAGACACAGACGTCGTACAGTCATCATATTTATACAATTAATTCAAAATAAAAAAAAATTTTTTTCATGCAAGGGGCGAAATTTTACGTACAGCCATGCATATTTTATTCATGTGCTACCAAATAAAAAGCTCAATTAACTTTTTATAATAAAAAAAAATTTTTTTTTCACGTGTTACAAAATAAAAAAAAGTATATAATCGAGGTAAAAAAATAATTTTTTCATTGGTAATAAATTTATATATTTATAAGCAATTACCAAATGGATGACATTTCAGTAATCGAAATTAACGAAATTAATGTTGATAAAATTGATAAAATAGATAAAATCGATGTTGATAAAATAGATTTTGATAATATCGATGTTGATAAAAATGATGTGGATAAAATATTTACCTTCGATGATATCGGTGATGAACCACATAATGGTAAACCTATTACTATAATAGAAATATCACCAAATGAAAACTATCTTATTACTTATAGTGAAGAAGATCGTTCAGTTGCCGGTTGGAATGTTGAAGATATGGATAAGGTTCAACTTAAATTTCATCAAACTGTTAGAATTAATGAAGATAAAGAAGATGATGAATTTAATAGTTATGAAATCAAAAGTTTATGTGTTTCTGATGATAAGAAACTTGCTTATGTTTATCCTCATAAGAAGTTTGGACGTTGTTCTGGTAAGTAATAATTATTTGATTATGTAATTATTAAATTATGGTAATTGATATCTATTTTAATATTTTTTAGTAATCGATATGAATAATGAAAAAAAAATTGCATTAAATTTAAATGCAAAAAATGCTTATTATTGTACCTTTAATTTAAAAGGTGAATTTATTTTATGTAGTTTTTATTGCTTTCATTCTGATCTTGGATTTCATGATATTATTTGGATTTATTCCACACAAACTAAAAATAACAAATGGGAATGTAAGAGATTTTACAGGATACCTGAAAATTATGAATTAATCAGAATATCAAAATATGATAATGTTTACCTGGTTTCAAATGATTACATTTATGAATGGAATATTAATACTGAGAAAAGTGTAAAATTATTTGGTAATAATAAGGATAAGAATAAGGTAATAAATATTATAAAATTATTTTCAACTCAATCGATGTTAAATTATAATTAAATATATTAAATACTATTTATTTTTTAGTTTGAAACAAAAATTATAGGAATATTTAGTAATGAAAAGTTTACTTCTCTAAAAATCAATGATAAAATCATTGTTTATTCAATCGAATACGAATTGGGAATTCCTATTGCTTCTTTGGATATAAATGATGGTAAACATTTTTAATAAATTTTATTTATATGTTAATTATTACTCATATTAAATCACTATTTTTTATTTAGATATTCAACTTTATAATTTTATGAATCATACTGGTTTATTTCTTTTACCTTATTTATTTTATTATACACCAGATAAAGGAATCCATAATTCCATCAAATATTGCTGGAACAATAAATACAAAAATAGGCTTGTTAATCCAACTGATGAATTAAATGATAAACAAACAAAGGTTGTGTTTGGAATTCTAAATGGACGTGTTTGGAAATCTAAATTTGAAAATTCTGATGAATTAAATAAAGAAGATAGTAAAATTATTGAATGTGATGAAATCAACAAGAAAACTTACAATTACTTAATTATTCACTCATATATGGATTCCGTGTCAACATTATTTCAAAAAGCCACAACAAGTGATGGTGGTAGTAAAGAAGAAGTATTGACTAAAAATTTAATTCAATGGAAAATATATGTTGATAATGATAAAATTAGACTGGGAGTTTTCAAAAAAATTAATACTGAATGGGAATCAATTTGCATGAGAACTGAAATTTATCCTTATAAATATAAATATCCCGGTTTTGAACATAAATTTATTGCGAGCTCATTATTTCATAACAATGGTATTGTTATGTTGACAACATTTGGTATTCTTATTTACACTTTTAGTGAACATAACAAATCCATTTTTTTAAACTATTTTTATTTTATGAAATTCGATCTAATTGATTATAAATATAACACTATAACACATATAAAAAAACTTCAACATTACAAAAGGATATTTTCATCTACTTTACCATTACCAAATTATGATAGTTTTAGATTAGATGGATGGGTTTCAGAGGTAAGAAATAATAAGTCTAGTTTTTTGAAATATGGAGTTGAATTATTAACAAATGCAATTAAAAAACATGAGTTAGAATTAATTGATGAAATATATAAAAAATGTATAACTTATTTTAAAGAGGATTCAATGAACAATAAGTCATTTTTAAGTATTATTACTTCTACAATGCCATTACTAGATAAATATTATCCAGAATATATTCTAAGATATTCATCAGAAACGAATATGATCATAGATTCTTCTTCTTATAGTATAGAACATCAAAATAAAAATTTACATCTTTGTTCTTTTTTTTAAATATCCTCAAATAGCTAATTTATCTCAATCTCTTTTATGGACAAAATACCATCATAAATTTTATTCCGATGATGATGATGATGAATATAAAGATTTATTATATTATATTATAAATATTATTCAAGCTTTAATCATACTTTTAACTTTACCCCTATATTTTGTTACATTTTATATTTTATCAAAATATAATTTTATTAATAAGATTTACATTAGAGATGTATTTTCTGCTGTTTATTTCTATGCTGAATCTTTTATTCTTGAAATTTTAAAAAAAGTAAAAAAAGATATAACAACAACAACACCAACAATTACTTTTATGATTCCTTATATTAATTTTGTTAATTATTCAAAAGATTATAGTTGGTTTTTAGAATTAATTAGACCTCAACCTAGTCCATTTACTGAAACGATAAATAGAAATATCTATAAAACATGGAATGGAGAGGCATTAATTAATTTTAAATGGAATGCTTATGGAAAATATTATTATGCAATGATTTGGATTTTATTTATGACATTACTTGGATGCTTTACTGCTGCTGCAACTATTCCTCAGAAATATATCAATGAAGAAGTTATACAACAACTTTTTGTTGCTTCAATTATACTTGGATTTATTCATCTAATTTTTGAAATTCGTCAATTTTTTAATAATATTATTAAGTGGTTTTATAATTTTTGGAATATTTTTGGTAAATATAAATGTTTAATTTAATTATTTTACAATATCTTTATGTAAACGAAATTAATTATATAATATTTTAAATTGCAGATATAATTGCTTATGTGCTTTCAATTTACACTTCTATTTACTGGCTCAAAGCAAATGATAAGAACAATGATTATCTAATTACATTGCTTTCTTTTTCATGCTTATTTTTGGATATAAAATTTTTGTTATTTTTTAGAGCATTTGAATATTTTGGAGTATATTTTGCAATTATTATTAATGTTGGAAAAAAGATTTTTTCTTTTTTAATAGTTTTATTCATTATTATAATAAGTTTTGCACATGCATTTTATATTTTATTATCACCAAGATCCGAATTTTCACTTGAACAACCTACAAATGACGATGATCCAAATAATCCTTGGAGTTTAGCTCCTAGTTATAATCAAATAATTGATAATGATAGAAATATAAACTCCAATCCATCTATGATTCAAACACCTGATAAAAATACAAACATGTTTATAGATATTAGAACTTCTCTTTTTGCTATGTATTTATTTTTAGCAGGTATGTTTAAAATTTTCATAATTATATGAATTTTAATTTATGTAAATAATTTCTAATAATATTTTTAAACAATTCTTCTTTCCTATCAATAGGTGATTCAAGTGCATTATCCAATTGGGCATATATAGATAATCCATCAATTGCAATATTGATTGTTTTATTTTCCCTCTTAGTTGTTATATATCTTATGAACTTATTAATTGGATTACTCAATATGGAAATTGGAGAAGATAATAATAGAGTCTCATATTTGATACAGAAGGCAGAAGTAAATAATATTAATATTAATCATTTCATTTCTATAAATATACTAATATATCTCAATTTTTATATTTAAAGATTTTGGCCGAGATTGAGTTATTTTATCTATTACCACATCAGAGACGTTGGCAAACATGGTTTCCTGAAGCAATGTATGTATTTTTATTTTTTTAAAAAAATTTATTGTTATGACTTATTAATTAATCGAATTTATTTTTCAAGACATTATTATGCCGATGTTGATAAGACCCGAATAGAAATTAAAAGATTGATTGAAGAGGGTGAATGGGATACTAAGGAATTCGCAGAGATGCGAGAAAAATTATTAAAAGTACTTGATATTAAACATAATCCTATTGACAATGAGGTAATGTTGAAGAAATTAGAAAGATTAGAAGAACAAAATATAGAATTTGAGAAATTATTGAAAGAAATACGTGCAAAATAATTTTAATATTATAACATTAGTTTTATAATTTGATCACTGGATAGTGTATTAGATGAACCAGTTTGTAATCAATTATAATAAGTAAATTAGTAATAATAAATTGAATAAATATATTTTATGTTTTCTCTCTAATCACATAAATTTCTAAATCATTCATTTTAATAAAAATATTGATAATATTAAAAATTATATAATACAAAATTACTAATCTTATTAATATGGTATGAAAAAAAGTAAATTTGAATGTCGTATTATAAAAAGTGATATAATAGGATGTGCAATAGTTAACAAATCAGAGCGATTTTGATTTGGCCGGAATTAACATAAATTCAGCCAAAATTAAATATGCGTAAATTCAACCTTTTAAACTAACAATTTATTAAAAAGTACAAGTAAATAGTACGAACCCATAGATATAGTACATAAATACATAGAAAAAAGGCAGTACTGTCTCTCGAATCTACCATCTAAAATAATGAACTTAACCTTGACTGTAATTTTCGGGTAATTTTTCAAAATAAATGATTGTTCAAGGATATATCAGATTTTTATCGTCTTAATGTTGTACCAATTTGCGTCAGATGACATTATTGGCCCGATATTGCCCAACATTATAATATCATAAGTGTGTATTGGCTAGTATAACTAGGCAAGCTGTCATCTGACGAACGTCAGAGTCGTCAGACGCAAATCTATGAACAAATCGAACATGATTCATGAATTGAATTCATATTGGTAAAGTTGCGATCTAGGCTTTCCTGTGGCATTTTTATTGTGTATTAATTTAAAATATATTTCCAACTAAAAAAGATATACCTTTCCTGAATTTTCTTTAACATATGATAATTTCAAATTTTTTTATTATTTTTTTTTATTTAAAACAAGAAGGCATCATTCATGGAGAAGCTGTGAAATTTACATTTATGGTTAGTTAATCAAAATAAGCATTTTCTGTTAATGAAGAGATGTAGTATCAAATAATAGTTGGAATTGAAAATACATGAAATATTTATTTATATTGTAAATTATTTTTTTAAGAATTATTTTTTAAGAATTTTTCTTTTTTTTTAAAAAAAAAAAAATTCATTTTTTAATTTTTAAATCAAATATTTTTATTAATATGGTTTTTTTGATACAATAGGTAATAGTAGAAATCTTTACTTATATGATTTAATTCTAAAATTAATACAAAAAATACTTGACGCTACATTTAACTACATTTAACAAAAGTTGAAAAATTGAATTCAATATCATATAATTAATTTCAAAAATAGATTTGAAACTTAATGGGATATTATTGTTTGTTGCATAGTATTTTAATGAATCTTTAAAAATAAATATTTTTGTTTGCTAAAAAAATATGGTGGTTTCTATTAAAAGATTATAATACCAGTTTTTATATCAAATCTTCGATATATATAATCTTTATTTTATATATAATACATGAATAAAGCGTTTATTAACTTTATAAACATGACATAATATTTAGATGAACGGATATTTTCTATGGAAAGAGAGATCAACTTTTGCATGATCTAAAAAAAAAATCAGTTATTTATAAATAAAAGTCATTTTTTTTTACAATAACTTTTTTTTAAAAAGCCTACAAGAAGCATGCTAAGCTCCTCTATGAAAATGACCTCTTGTTTAAATTAAAATAATTTAATAATTTTACTTCAAATTTCTTAAATTTTTTTTTTTTTTAGTTAAGAAGCAACAGAATTTCCTATCAAATATAAAATATATTATGAGTGGAGTTCTTGTATATGTGAATGTAAAAGTATAATTAAAAATACATTTAGCGCGATTTCAATTATAATGGAATTAGTATAATTTTGGCAAAGTTTACTATTATATTATTACGTAAATAACCTTCACTTCCTGTTTCTATTTAAATTTCTAATTTTTAG